TTTGTGGTAAAACAGTGGGAGGCACTAAAAAGTGAGATCCTTAGGGCACGAAGCAGACATGTCCCATTTAAAAATAAGGATGGTATCGCCAAATCAAGACCCCTATAGTTGTCTAGAAAAATAGAGGGAAAGATTAAACAGAAAAAGAAAGTTTATGATAATCACAAAAAAGTCAACACTGCATATAGCTTAGAGGAGTATATAAATGTATATAAAAGTATATGAGGTGCTGAAGGTCTGGAGGAATGCAAATGTGGGTCCATTGTTTAAAAAGGATACAAAGGGCATACCAAAAAATTATAATCCAGTTAGTCTTACTGCAATGGTGGGCAAATTGCCAGAATCAATCCTAAGAGGTTAGATAAACTGTCACTTAGAAAGGTATGGACTAGTTAGGGATAGTCACCATGGCTTTGTTACCGAAGTTCATGCTTTATAAATTTGATTGAATTCTTTGAGGAAAAGACAAGTGCAGTGGATGTTGTCCACATGGGTTTTAGTAAGGCATGTGACAAAGTCCCACATGGCAGACTGGTCAAAAAGCCATGGGATACATGGTAATATGTCAAATTGGATCCAAAGTTGGCTCAATAACAGGGAACAAAAGGTAATGGTCAATTGCTGCCCTTACGAATGGGAACCAGGAAAGAGCTATGTGCTGTTGGAATTCAATAAGACCTGTGCTATCCTCCAGCCCTACCAAGGCTTGAGTCAATGCTAACTCCAGCATGACCAATTCCAATGGAGCAAAAATGACAAGGTTAGGCGCTACTGCTCCCATCTCTGCCTTCTCACAGGTATTATGTGCTCTCTTCACCTCTTAAGACAGAGGAATATTGTAGAGCATCTTCTGTGGGAAAATCATGTTTTAGCTTATGTGCTGAACTGATGCAGTTCAATAAGATCCATTATCAACTTAAGGCAGGTAGAAAGTGAAATGTAGCTTTGCCAAGTTCAACAGCTTGCATTTATTTAGTAGTTTCAGTGCAGTAACACCTTCCCACAGCACTTCATGGAAGTGCAATAAGACAAATATTGGTATGAGCCAAAAGAAATAACATTAAAACAGGTTGTTGGGGCTGCCCATGGCTGAAGCAGTAATAAAATGGCTAAAAGTGGTTCTCAGTTGATATAAAATTGCTGGGGAAGATTTTTAGCTGAAACAGCAGCTTCGATAATCTGAGATTCAAAGTTAAACTATAAACTAGAATGACTGTAGCCTTAATAGGAGGATTCTATCCAAGGTAACAAGATAGCACACAAAAGGTTTTATGAAATGCACGCAATAGGGTCCTGTTGAATACAAGCAAATATAGCTGCTTGTACAGAGTTAGTTTGATAAGGTACATCCTTGAGAAATATTGATAGAGGGCTCCATACCAGGCTGGTCCAAAGTCTTATATTCATTGTGGGATAAAAGAGAGGGGGCTTGACCCACATCAATTCAGACCCACAGGCAATTGTAGCCACATGTCATTATCAAAAGGGATTTTAGATATACAAGCTTGAAAGGATTTAACTGCATTCCTATGGATATTCAGTCTAAGGCAGAAAGAAGAAGCTCCCTTCCTATCAGCAAGGAAGTGCTATATAATTGGTACAGGGGCCAAGTCTGGAATGTAGTTGAATAAGATGTATTGTGAAGGCCCAAGGGTAATTGATAAATGGCAGTCCGGTAAATATCATGAGATTATGGGATGAGTTAAAGCAGTCCTTGGACTGGTTATGCAGTCGCATGATTAACCTGATTGGATGCGTATGTAATCAATTAATAACATGATTGGTTTGTGACAGCCAAAGGTGGGCTAGACACAATTATATAAAAAGTTTACATTTCCCTTTGTTCAGCAGAAAGGATCCTGGATGGCCAAAGGCTTTCTGCCCACAAAAGTCTCCAGTAGTCCAGGGACTTCACAGACTTGTTGTCTTGCTAAATAGTGTTGCTTGGGCAGTAAAGGTAAGCAAGCCTATCGTTATGTCAGGACAAATTGTGTTACACACCCTGGTGGAATCATGGGAGGTTAAAAACTGTGTCAGATTCTAGAAAAGTGATATGGGAGACAGTACTATTAGCATAGGATATATCAATTTGGATAGCCCGAGGCAATAAATACAATCCCACAGGAAATGTACTAGCAGCAGGGCAACCTCATCGCTGTCACATAGAAATGGATCAGGACACTATGGAGGGAATTGCAGATGAACCCCTGGACCACCCAGATCTGACAACGTATGTAGATGGACTAGGCCATTCTTGAGTGACATTTTCAATCCAGCTGGATCGTCATAGACTGTCAGGAGGAGATGGTATTAAAAGGGGGCTTAGAGGGAACTCTTTCAGTCCCAGTAATGGAACTGATTGTACTGGAAGAAGCTTTAAAATTAGCAGAGGGAAAGAGAGTTAACATTGACACAGACAGCCATATACCTTTGGTGTAGTGCATGACTACATGAAATCATGGAACAGGGAGAGGTCACATCACCTCAGGGGACAGTCACATAAAACATGAAAACAAGACTCAAGAATTAGAAGAGGCAACACGATACCCCGCAGAAGCAGCAGTTATAAAAATAAAAGCACATTGTGCTGCTGTCTCCACTTTTCAATGTGGGAATTTGCGAGCAGACATAGTGGCCAGGGAGGTGGCAAGGAGAGCAGTCCCATGGGTTATCCACGTGGCAGCCATAGGACTGGAAGAGATGAATATCCCAAAATTACAGGTAAACACACGTTCAGAGAGAAAACAAAGATTGGGGCAGAATGGAGTGAAACAAGATGAAAAGGGAGTATGGAGTAGGGTTATTAGTTGTAGCATCTGAATGTGTACAGAACTCGCTCCTGCAAACTTGTCACTAGCCTGAGCATAATTGGTCAGAGGCATGCTTGGCTGCCTCCTTCAGGACTGGTGATGGCCTGGGATTGGGAGAAACGTGGCCAAGCATTGCCAACTATGTATTCTATGTGCACAGCATAACACAGGCAAATTAGTCAAGGTCTGGCTGACATGCCATCAATGGCTCAAAGGGCCTTAGGAGAACCTTCAGATAAGTTGAGGCTTGGTGAAACCTGACTGCAGATGAATGAAATACTGATGAGTAATCATTGACCAATTCACCCACTGGGTCAAAGCTTTTCCATCAAGGGACTGCAGTGCCCACACTGTAGCAAGGATATTGGCAAACAAAATAATTTCGATATGGGGAGTGGCCCTCCAGATTGATAGAGATCAGGGAACACACTTCACGGGAAATATTATTAAGAAAGTCACTTAGGCATGTAGTAGCAATCCCATATCCTGCAGGACCCACACGTTCAGGGATGGGTTAGAGGATGAATAAAAACCTTAAAAATGCTATACCCAAAGTGATAGCAGAAATAGGCTTGGGTTGGGTAGACGTGCTCCCTGCAATCTGAAGAGACTAAAGGCAACCCCAAACCAGGCAAGCAGCCGAATGCTGTTTGAATTAATGACAGGAAGGGCCACGACATTCCCCGAGAGTAAATAGTAGGAGGAGCTGAGTTGGAGCAAAGGAGCAGCAAGCAACAAGGGACTTAGAATCTAAAGGGACAGGTCAGGGACAGAGTCCTTGTGCAGGTCACCCGCTGACTGAGCATGATCTACCCCAAAATATGTGGGGCCATGTGACATGATCATGAACAGTGACACTTGTGCATCTATAGATATGGAAGGTAAAGGCCAATGGAAACATTTGTCATTTCTATGCAGCTTTTGTTGAGACCAATGACAGATCCTAAAATAAAATTCATAATAAACACCATCTGGTATGCAGTGACATACCAGGAATGGAAGAATAAATTGGAAAGCGGACTGTTCAAAGCCTTGGGAATAATATTAGTACTTCTACGGAAACAGCACATATTTAGATGGCTTACTAGCAGGATACAGGCTATTGGGAATGAAGCCTACATACAGAGGGAATAACGTTGAGCACAAAGAAGTGATAAGGATATAAACTATAACCCCTGGGTTACCCAGAACATATTCGGCCCATGCAGGAAATGATCCATTCTGCTTTCAAAGTGGAATAAATAACAACCGACAAGACGGACATTAGGTGACCACCAGATCCCTTCTCTGCTTGAATTACAGATACCCACCAGGAAAAGAAACGAGAATAAAGGGGCTACAATGACTGTGGAGTGGAGTGTTAGTATCCAGGAGTTTAGGACAACTGCTCGAAAGAATGAATGAAAAAGTACAACTGATTGACAAAAGGGACAAGAGACTTTAGAGGCCACAGGATACTCTCTAACGTGTCAGATGCAACATGCATACCAGGGAATGAACACTGGAGTAATAACGGAACATATTTTAATGCGTAGCTCATGGTGTATCTGGTCGGAGACATACTGTGTTTACATTGCTCTACAGGCACGCATGTCAAGAAGAGAGACTGAAAAGATAGATGAATGCTTTTCTGGAGTCCTTTGTGTCCCTACTTCTGGATAGCGGACTGTTGAATATGAAAGGGGAAAGGTAGCAGTGTGTGGGCATTATGAGGATTATGAGTAAGTTTTAAGAAGTGCCTTAGGAGGAGTGAGGAAATTTAGAGCTGAGGGTCGAGACAAGTGCCTATAATGAGTTAAAGTAAATTGAGTTGGTTTTGAGGGGAGGGCCACAAGAAGCCAAAGGTTGAGAAACACAGCACTCTTGGAGAGTTTTACCAAGTCACAGAAGTATCACCTACATTTGGAGAACAAGTAGAAAAACATTAATTCTACTTACCTTCCACAGTGCCATAGAAAATGTTGCTTTTAGATTTCCCCTGCTCTCAAATTCTCACATGCCTACCTGCTTGTAAGAAGCAGATCTGCATTCTAAACACAAAGAGCACAAGGTGCAACTCAGGGGAAATCAGCTGAATTGTTACTTTTAAAAAAAATGCATTTGATTTCTTGCCCTCATTTTTGTGTATATGCCACAATTTGAAAGATACTTATCGTTCACATGGTTTCTACAATTTCTACAAAAGTCACCTTTTATTTAGAAACAAAGCAACAAGTTGGAACAAAAACAAACAAGTGTCCATTTTTTATTTTCACAAAACTGCTAAAAAATAATTGGTTAAAAATTATCTTATAACATATAAAGCAAGGGGGGAAAGAAATTGCATTTATATACCATCCATAACAACCTCAAAACATCCCCAACTGCTCTACTGTCTATGAATCTTGGGGAATCCCTGCTTCAGGTTTTTTTTTGGTTAATTATCAAGAACAATCTCAAATACTGTGATTCCTTGTTCGATAAACCATTTTATTAGCCCAATTTGTGATCCTTTTTGGAAAAGTATAATTGAGAGGTGTCTAGATAGGAAATTGCAGTTCAGGCCTTCATTGCCCAAACTGTACAAAAGTTAAACTTGAGCAGCAATGTAGCAGAATGTGCAAGCACACAGCCTTCTATGTTAGAAGTGAGAAAGAACACTTCACCAACATTCTGGAGACCCACATAGGAGGTAGAGAAAACAATGGCGTCTTGAATCCTAGACAAATATTTGGCTGCCAATGAGATTGTTTCTCACGGTTAGTATTGCTTACAGTCTGAGCATAAAAAGCCTAAGATCATGAGAGTTTAACCCAGCTTGGGCATCTTGTGTAATTGGTCCCCCCCAAATATTGTAAAGCTGGTCTATATAATTGGTCTCTGTAGCCTTTACTATGGAAAGCAAGTCTTTGAGGAGATTCCCTAAACATTCCCTAAGATCCCCTTGTACAGTTTTTACATGTCACATTGCATCAGTCAATGGTACATAAGCATGACTAAGCAATATGTACAAAGAGATCACACTTCTGTCCAGAGTGTGCTGGTAATGCTGTTGCACTTTGATATTATTGTTCAGGTATGAGTACATGTCAAGTCTTAATAACACAAATAAAATATCAACACAGTCGCCCATAATGATTATGTCTTCAAATCATTTTGAAACTCGATATACAGGAGTTAAAGGGTTAATTCACTTAAATATCTGGAATTCCAACAATGAAATATTTTTCTGGCATAGTCACAGTCGTACTGTAGGATAATGGGACAGTTAATTTGTGCACAGCAAAGTCCCACAACCAACAATGAGACAATGAGAGAACTCCTCCATTAATCTTCAGCCAATGCCACAGGATCTTTCACATCCACTTGAAGGGCAAAGATTCCATTTAAAGCCTCATTCACTGGACTGATGTTTGGTCAACTAGGTCATGGACTTGAGTTTACTGTAATGGCCTTCAATAATGCAATGATTCAACAATGCATACCAGTATAAGATTGTATGCAGTTCAAATCTTGCACCATAAATCAGAATCTAGCCATCAGCATAATTGTAAAAGTATTCTCTTCATGATTAACACAATGTGTCATTATAAAAGGTTAATCAGATTTCTGAGAGTTTAAATATTTTTTTCCAGCATAAGTTTATATCTGAAATTTTTTCTGTTATTCTTAGAAGCTTCTTTGTTGGGCATTTTGTCTTGCTGTTGACTACTGACGATATTTTTGGTTTCCTGTTGTGAGTTTTTCTGTTTTTCTGTCAAAATGCGAACAGAGCATCTCAATAACAAAAGCACTTAATTTAGTTATTACTAATTTTAGTTCAAAACACACAAGGATAACAACATACATTGCTGTTACATAGTGAAGTTGTTACGTATCTACTTAACACATGTAGCTTTAGAACAAAATACCAATAATACAATTGACTTATTTCAGTTAAATGTTATACTGGAATTTCAAATTCAGTCACTTGATTGAAGCAGGATATTTATGGTATTGGCACATACATTTTAAATGGTGGGAAGGTCCTTCCTGCATTTACTCAGTCAGAATTTTATGTATAGAATTTCTGTGAGATTCCCTTCATTCTCCTAAGCTTCAGTGAATAATCTTAACTGATCCAGTCTCTCTTCACACATCGGTCCTGCCATTCCAGGAATCAGTCTGGCAAGCCTTCACTGTGCTCCCTCCATAGCCAGAACATCCCTCCTCAGATAAGGAGATCAAAATCGCGCATAATCCTCCAGGTGTGGTCTCATTAGACCCTGTGCAATTGCAGCATGACATCCCTGCTCCTGTACTTGTATCCTCTTACCATGAAGGCCAAGTTTTCCATTGCATGTTTCATTGTCCACATGCAGTTGCAGCAGGTACCCAGGTTTCATTGCACTTCCCCCTTTTCCCATTCTATTGCCACTCACATCACAATCTGCCTTCCTGCTTTTTAATCACCAAATCTACATTATACTTCATCTGCCATGCATTTTCCCACTCACTCAACTTGTCAAAATCACACCGAACCATAACTGCGTCCTTTTCATAGTTCATCTCTCCCTCCCAGCTTAGTGTGTGTGAAAATGTAGAGAAATTACATTTAATTCCCTGATCACTATTGTGAATAGCTGGAATCGAATCTGCCACTCAGAAAATTACCCATTTATTCCTACTGTTTGTTTCCTGTCTGCCTGCCAGCTCTCCATCTGTAGTACACTACCTCCTAATCCTGTACACTTTTTAATTTTGCATACTAATATCTAATGTGAGACCTTATCGAAAGCCTTCTGAAGTTCACATAAACCACATCCACTGGCTCCCCCTTATCAACTCTACTAGCTCCATCCTCAAAAGATTTCAGTAGATTTGTCAAGAATAGTTTCCTTTTTGTAAACCTATGCTGACTCAAATACTGTCACTGTATTCCAAGTGTTCTGCTAGTAAATCTCTTATAATGGATTCTAGCATATTTCCTACTACCAGTGTCAGGCTAACCATTCTATAATTACAAGTTTTCTCTCTACCTCCTTTTTTAAATAGTGGGGTTACATTAGCTGCCCTCCAATCCATAGAAACTGTTCCAGAGTCTCAAAAATCTTGAAAGATTCCAATGCATCCACTATTTCTAGGGCCATTTCCTTAAGTACTTTGAAATGGTGATCACCAGGCCCTGGGCATTTTCTAGCCTTTAATCCAATCAATTCTCTTACTAAGATAGTAGGAACTGCTGATGCTGGAATTCTCTTACTAATTCTGATTTCCTTCATTTACCCAGTGTTTCCCCAACATTTTTGGGAGATTATTTGTGTCCTCCTTTGTGAAGGTACAACCAAAAGTATGTATTGAAACTGGTCTGCCTTGTTTGTTTCGGACTATAACTTTCTCTTGTTTCTGAGTGTAAGGGACCTACATTTGTCTTCACTAATCTTTTTCTTTTCACATACCTATAGGAGCTTTTATCAGTTTGTGTGTTCCCCGCCAGCTTACGCTCATACTCTCTTTTGTCCCACTTAATCAAACTTTTACTCCTCCTTTTCTGATATCTAAACAGCTCTCCATCCTCAAAACTGTGGATTTTTCTGGTCAATTTGTATGCCCTTTCCTTGGATCTAAACGTTATCCCTAATTATCCTGTTAGCTACAGTCAGGCCATTTTTCCTGTTTTAACATGGAACATAGAACATAGAACAGTACAGCACAGGTCAGGCCCTTCGGCCCACAATGTTGTGCCGACCTATTATCCTACTAAGATCAATCTACCCTGCATACCCTACATTTTACTATTCTCCATGTGCGTATCCTTTTATTTCTGTGCCATACAGGAACAAACAATTGTTCCAGCTCCTCCACGCATGCTTTACATGTTGCCAATCCCTATCCACCATTATCCCTTTAAATAAGATTCCCCAATTTATCACAGCCTGTGCCTCAGGAACAAAAACAGAAGTTGCTGGAAAAGCTCAGCAGGTCTGGCAGCATCTGTGAAGAGGAAGGGTCACCGGACCCGAAACTTTCACTCTGATTCTTTTCTTCACAGATGCTGCCAGGCCTGCTGAGCTTTTCCACCATCTTCTGTTTTTGTTCCTGATTTGCAGCATCTGCAGTTCTTTCGGTTTTTATTTAGCTTGTGCCTCCTATTCAGATTAAGGACTATTGTCTCAGAATCAATGACATCATATTCTCTTAAATGAAGAATTCTGTCATATTATAGTCACTCTTCCTCAAGAGGCCTTGCACATCTTGATTGCCAATTATTTTTTTCTCACAACACACCACTCAGTCTGGGATGATCTTTTCTCTAGTTGGTTCCACAACATATTGATCCAGAAAACCGTCATGTATACATCCCAAGAATTTCATGCTCTGGCACTATTACTGAATGGACTTGCCCAATCCATATACAATTACAACATTTAAAAGGCATCTGGATGGTTATATGAATAGGAAGGGTCTAGAGAATATAGGCAAAATGCTGGAAACGTGACTAGATAAGTTTAGAATATCTGGTCAGCACAGACGAGTTGGACTAAAGGGTCTGTTTCCATGCTGTGTAATTCAAGATGCTATTAAAGTCGCCCATAATTACAGCTGTACCTTTACTGCTTGCATCTCTAATTTCCTGTTTAATGTCTTCCCAATGTTACCATTCCAAATCCCACTAATGAGTGGGTTTGCTCAAAGGTTTTCTGGTTAACTGGTGTTTCTGATCAATGGATTTGAACGAGAGAGCTATAGTGAAATTGATTATGCAAACCTCTCAAATGTGATACATAGTGTAGGGCAGTGGGTGTTGTCTACTTGGACTTTTAGTAAAGCATTTGACAAGATCCCTGGTACGCTGGTCCAGAAGATTAAGTCACATGAGATCCACAGTGAGTTGGTAAGTTGGATACAATGTTGGCTTGGTCATAGAAGACAGAGGGTACTTGTGGAGGAGTGTTTTCTGACTGGAGGTCAGTCTCATGTGGTGTTCTGCAAGCATCAGTGCTGGGTCTGTTGTTTGTAATATATTTAAATGATTTTCCTTAAAATGTAGATGGTTTGATTAATAAGTTTGCAGACGACATGAAAATTGGTTGAATTGTTGATAGTGAGGAAGGACGTTAAAGGATTCAGCACAATATAGATCAGTTGGAAATCTAGGTGGAGAAATGGCAGATGGAGTTTAATCTAGACATGTGCAAGATGATACATTTTGTGAGGTCAAATGCAAGAAAAAAGTATACTGTAGATGGCAGGACCCTTAGGAACATTGATATGCAGAGATCTTGGGATGCATAACCATAGCTCCCTGAAAATGGCAACACAAGTGAATAAGGTGGTAAAGAAGGCATATAGTATGCTTGAATTCATCAGTTGGGGAATTAAGTTTAAAAGTTGCCAAGTCATGTTGCAGCTGTATAAAACTTTAGCCAGGCTACCTTTGGAGTAATGTCTGCTGTTCTGGTTCCTTCACTATAAGGAAGGCTTAAGGAGGCTTTAAGAGAGAGTGCAAAAGAGATTTACTGGGTTGTTGTCTGGATTGCAGTGTATAACCATAAGGAGAGACTGTCAAACTTGGATTGTTTTCGCTAGAGCAGCAGAGGTTGAGGGGTGACCTGATAGAAGTATATAAAATTATGAGAGGCATGGATAGTTTGGAGTCTTTTCTCCAGGGTGGAAATATCAAATATAAAGGGACATAGGTTTAAAGTGAGAGGGGCAAGGAGAAAGGAGATGTGCGAGGCAAGTTTTTTTTTTGAAAAGCACTGGAACATGCTGCCGGGGAGATGATAAAAGCAGCTGTGACAGCAACATTTAAGATGCAGTTAGACAGACCCACAAATGGGCAGAAAACAGAGAGATAGGGACCAAGTGCAGACAGATGGGATTGCTTTCAAATGGTATCATGGTCAGCACAGACATGGTGGGCCAAAGGGCCATCTTGATGCTTTACTGTTCTACTTTCTACAGAAGAGCACAGGAGATAGGTCCTAGAAAATTTCCAACAAAGACCATAACCTACAACTCTGGGTTCAGCCCTAGCTACCTTTCCAGCACAAATTTAAATTATATATAGGATTAAGTTATTTTCATATTTTTAAGAATATTGCCAAGGAAAAATGTGGTACATCTTATAAAAATGCAATTGTACTTGATAAAAGCTTAGAAATTTAGAGGTAATTTGGAAGCAAACATAATTTGACATTGCAAACATCAGGAATTTTGCGATAAGTTATGTAGAAGGATGCACTAACGGGATTAATAACTTCTAATATAAAAATCAACACGGCGGTTTCAATGTTTCCCAGTAAGGAGGTCTCAGTGGGGGGGATAGAGAGCTGTGTGGGTAGTAACCACAAACACTCAGACTGCTTTTTTCGAGTCATAAGACACTAAAATCCCAACTGGTGAGATCAGCTGATTCAAAGTCAAGGTGAAAATTGCTGGGACAATATTTTAGTGAAAATACTATTTATTCTTGGGATTATCAAGGTAAAGATTTTTGTCACTCAGGTACTGGTCAAGTAGGCATAGCAAGACAAGACTGGACCAGCATGTAAACCAGGTCAGTTGATGTGACAGATTATAACACAAAAGAAACAGTTGCGACTCTACAAGGCCATTCATGATAACTCTTCACTCTTCCAAATTATGACAGTTGTCAATTTGTCACAAAAGGATAAAAATACCTATGGACTACTAGTGAAGTACCATAACTATACAATATTACAAGAAGAAAAAATATTAAAAATTGATCACTGTTAAAACAGATAGTGATATGGTTTTACCCGATTAGGAAAGGAAGCGCATTGTAATGGTGGATAAAAATCAATAAAGCCAATCAGTACAGTGGATAGCCTCAATATACAGACGAAATAAGGAGTTTAATTATTGGAGTACAAATCACGAAAGGTTACATGGTGACAGGGTTAGCTATTGATCAGACCCCATCTGGCAAATAGTGTGCATTCACAGTCACCATATCATAGGAAGGATGTAATTTCCCTTGAGAGAATACAGAAGTGAATAACAGATGGTTGAGTAACAGGAAGTGAAGTTTCAAGAAAAAAAATTAACACATTAGGTTTTTCTCTTCAGGGAAAAAAGGGAAGCTTCAAGGTGATATACTTCATGTTTTCAAAGTAATGAAATGAATTGACCAAACTGATCTGGGATAGTGCTTATGTGGCGAAGGATTTGCAATCCAGAACAGAGAATCTGCAATTAAATTCAAAAAGGAAAATCAAGGGAATTTCCTTTTAAGAAGAAATAACCACAGAATTAAGTTCAAAAACACCTCAAATCACTAAGTACCACAAGTATCAGGTAGTAAAATGTTACCCCTATTTGGAGATAGTAAGGACTGCAGATGCTGGAGTCAGAGTCAATACAGTGTGGAGCTGGAGGAACACAGCAGGTCAGGCAGCATCAGAGGAGCAGGAGAGTCAATGTTTTGGGTTTACACCCTCCATCAGGATTGGGAGGGGGAAGGGAGCTGGTAAATAAATAGAGGGAGAGGGGGTGGGCTGGGGAATGGTAGGTGGGATGGTGATAGTGGATGCAGGCAGAGGGTAGAGGAGATTGGTCAGTGGGGAAGGGTGGAGCTGATAGGTGAGAAAGAAGATGGACAGGTTATGTCAGGTCAAGGAGGCAGGGATGAGAGGGAGGGTTGGAAATGGGATGAGGCCAGGGGTGGGAAGATTTTGAAGCTGGTGAATTCTAAGTTGAGGCCAAGGTGTAGAGCTGGATGAACACAGCAGGCCAAGCAGCATCAGAGGAGCAGGAAGGCTGACGTTTTGGGCCTAGACCGTTCTTCAGAAA